CGCTGTCTCCACATAATACGGGACTTTCAGACTATTGTAGTGACACAATGTATAACTATGTATGTGACTATGAAGAGAGAAAACAAACGGACAGTGACCTGGAAGGCAGATAAATAAAATATATTGCCATTGTACCGAAGAAGATTACCTTTGTTGTGAAGAAGATTATGTTAATACAAGTTGTTGTTTTATTGGCAAGAAAGCATGGGCAATTAACCTACACAATGTCATTAAAAATCGATATGATGTCACCTTTGTAGTTTCATAATGCTGGTACCGAGCAGTATCATTGTTTGCAAACAACCCGATATTAATCATTGGTATTGCAGCGGTCGATCCCAGTTCCCGGAATTGGAGTGAAAATTGGAATCGAGATGGACGGAATCGATCCCATCAATTCCCTCTTCGGTGTCGTTCCTTTGAAACGCCTCGCACAGAACCGATCTAGATCTATTCTGCGGTCTCCCTTGTAAAATGATTTAATTCTATAGAAATAAATAATCATTCATCACTATTTAAAACCTGTGTTTAAAAAACAGATATCGCAGTTGTGGTGAGAGTGTCAACATGCACGAATACATTTGTAGCTATATCGATGAAACAAAGAAGAAAAAAATCTACAAAAACCTGCGGCACAACGTGCAGTCTGGACGTCGGGCGCGTGAATATCTACATTAATTAAATGCAAAGTTTAACAACAGATGAGTATCACATGCAAACAAGATTATATAGATCGATGCATGTTGTCTGTATCATAGTATACTGAATATTAATAGTAGGATCACTCAGCTAACAAACCAGCTTCTTACGTTTATCCGTTGATTAACATATTCTACATGAACATAGTCAAATATAATATATATAAAGATACTAGCGCCATCTAAGAGACAGTAGTAGAACACAAAAATGAATTAAGAAATCTAATATACAATATGTAATCTCTAGACGGCGTCAGGATCTGCTATCTCTTTTTGACGCATCTCTAATGCCTATTTTAATTGGGTATATCCAGGCAGTGATTATCGCATTCCACCTCGCAGATATACACTCACTCTCAGGAACAGAGAAGAAATAAATAAGTAACCTTACTGATGTTTTTAGCACCACCAATTGATACTTAAAACGCGCCATGGCTTTTCTCTATTTCCACAAAGCGATGTGGATGTATATCATGAAGAGCTGGGTCGGTCCTGAAACAATAGTTCTAAAGGAACGATACCGCAGTAGGAATCGGAAGAATGCATTCCGATGGTTCCGAAGGAATCGATTCCGGTGGTTTCGATTCCAATTCCCACGATTTCGACTCAAACAGCGGTAGTTTCGATTCCGATGATTTCTATTTCGTTGGCTTCGACGAATTCAGTCTAGTTAGAAGGAGCCAGACAGGGATTTGTTCGTCTTTCATTCCTCATAGCTTGTAGTGAGGACCAAGTGCATAATAGTTAATTTTTTGACAGTTCTGTGATTTAATTTATATTTTTGGTGTTATTTTTTAAGGGTGAGAGTGTTTGCAGGTAATTGTGATGTTAGATTCCAAGACATGGTACTCTACGGAGGAATGTCTCAACTACACGCATAGTTGGTTGCATATGTATTATATGTATTGGTCTGCAAGTGTATAAAATGAGAGATATTTGCTGTGTGAGAAAATCATTACTGAATATGCTGCCAATGAAGTATATCTATCATCTGTGCCTGACGGGTTATTTATATGTTGTCCTTTCAGAAGACAGGTTATGTTCAAAGTTATAAATTAGGATTTTTTACGTGATTTTGTATTTTCAAAAACTTTGAGGCGAGTTACGGGAAATCACTACCGTGCCCGCGTTGTGTGTAATTACTGTTAGCATGTTCGAGAGTGTACAGTGGATATAATTATTTCTTCTCTCTCATTTTTTAAATTCAGAAAATTTCCATATGTTGTTTCCAATATGGATGAAAAAGTGGATGCGTAAACTAATTTCTAGCTTTATATCTCAAGTAAGTGTATTTGAGAGAAGAATCCAATGGGATTATCATCAACACATATTATTACCACACAAATCCTCACTATCTACCTATGCATTGCCGCTTCCTTAGTGCTATAGTATACAACTTGCAGTTTAGATCTCCAGTAATGCCATCTCTGAAGCACATTTTACATCACATCAGAGCCGAACATTGATAACTGAAGCCTCATGACGTTTAGGCAACACGTACAACCACAAATCGAGTTCACAACGTGTCCATCAGCTAGTACCAAGTTAACATCTTATCGAAAAACCTACATAACGTCACAAAAAACCAATACAATGTCAAAAAAATCCACATAATGTCACTTTTCGAGTTACGTAGTACCCGTGCCGGTTGGATAGAGTTTGAATAATTTGTTTGAACGAAACGATACTGCTAGGATTCGAAAATTGCTCTTACTACAATAATAATTGTCGCACTAACTTGTAGAGGCACCAAATAGCATATTAATGCGGTATCTCGCAAACCAGTCGAACTAAGCAGGCGCTTAACGTCATACCCAGTTCGACATGTATGTACATAAAAATACATACATCCTTAATTGATGCTTATAATTTTTTATAACTTATAGTGTATATTAACACATCTTTAAGGTATATTCTGTAGCGAAAAATTAGTTATCAAAAATGATCAATTACCAATATTCTGGTTAGAAGCTTTTATTTTCGATTCCACACCTCATTTTTTTAATTTATAAAGAAATTAAAAATCACAGAACATTCCTTATACGGGGTGTTTCACAACCTATCCGACAAATTTTAACCACATACGCACTGTTACGAAAGAAGTTGATTTCCCAAAAAAAAAAATGTAATAAAAGTCCTACAGAAATCGAGATAATAAAATAATACAGTTTAACAGTTCACTTACTTATAAAAGCTGTTCAAAATTGGTACAGTTGGGCCTCGTGTAATATGCGTCACGCTGTTGCATAAGACACTTCTGGGACCTGCCTTGTGCTTATTCCCGGATTTTCTTCCACAGTTTCCAAAATTTCGTCTTCGGCATTTAAAACGTGTTGTGGGCGAACCCGGCCCCCCACCACTCCACGTCTGGGGCGAAAATCTCTACTAGCACGTGCACGTAAAACAATTGAACTAAATGTTTCGTGATGTGGTATGTGCCTATTCGGAAATCGGTGTTTGCTTCTGCTTCTCCGTACGCTAAAACAATCTCCACTAACTCCTCATTAGTGTACACATGTGCCATTTTTATTAATAAATAACTAAAAACATGAACTCGCAAAATACTTTCTTATTTAACTTCACAAAAATCGACCGTTCTTCGTTCAGGTCAGTCACGACACAGATTGAACCTCATTTACACGTTCTTATCAGTATGAAAAAACAAAAAATTGCTGGTATTTTGTTTTCGTCAGTTGTTTGGTACAACATTTGCTACAGTAAATTATTAACGTGTGTTCTAATATCACGACGATGAACGCAAAATACAGATATTCATTTTTCAATTTATTATTGAAACTCAGGTATATAACTTAATTTCTGTAGGACCTTGATTACATTTTTTTGAGAAATCAACGTTTTTCGTAACAGTGCATATATGGTTAACATTTGTCGGATAAGTTGTGAAACACCCTCTATAACGCTGTATTCATTATCTCAATTTCAAAAAATACTTCTGACGCATCGCAGTTTGTGTCCACTTTTTCTGTACTTTACTTTTTTTTGTCCTCACTACCTTTCACTTTAGCAGAACACGAATATCTTATATAGATGGAAAAGAATCGGTATATTCTTGTTACACTGGAACGCCTAAGTCTCAGGTAAAAGCGTGAATGTATGATAGCCATCATATGAGAAACATAGAACGAGTGAATCCCACTGTCCAATTACCAAAGCTGGAGTGTAATGTGTCCGAACTGCCAAATCTGTTTTCTCCTACTGATGGCAACGTTAACTCTTAATACCCAGAAATACATAGTCGTAGGAACAGAGGCAACTTAAGAATGGACATTTATTGAAAACATGGCATTTTTTTTCATAAATTAACAGATGGTATCCTAAACATATCTCGAATCTGCATCAGTGTTCTAGAGAAGGCAGCCTCGCATTGCAGCTCGCAACATCGGGAGCGGTGGTGTCGTGTTGGTTTCGTTCCGTTGCATTGCATACAGACGTACAGTGAATTGGGGTTGAAAGGAATCTGGATCGTGAACGAATGGAAAGAATCGATTCCGAGAGTGGAATTAATATCGTGTACGAATCGTAGGAATCGTTTTCGAGGCTGGAATCGGCATCGTGAACGATTCAAAGGAATCGATTCCGAAGCAGAAATCGAAATTGTGAACGAATCGATTCTGAGGTTGGAATCGAAACCATTTAATCTAATCAACAAAGGAATAATTTAGCCTAGCACAGATAACGTGACATCCACGATACGAATTTCGCTGTGTGGTCTTTCTACGATTGTTACAACGCGTTGCCAGTCTTTTCATAAGACCTATAACAAGAATTTTGCGATATGGATATTCCACAGTGGCCACAATGGATTGTGAGATGTTTTTCCCTCAACGAGCTTATTTGCTCTTTGAACGTAACAAATACAAAGGATTGCAAATTTGGTGGATCCCGAACAACAGATTTGGGAACCTGAGTGCACATTAGCCATTTATTCAATAGTCCGTTCCACGAAAATTGAATTATTGGTAAGATTCACTTAAAATCATTACAACGATTCTTTTTCTCAAAGTAACTAATTTTATAAACTCAGCAGAATGCAGCAATGGAGAGGAATATTCCCAGGAAAATTTTCATTTCAATTTCGTGGTTTCACATTTTCTGTCTCAACTGACGCATAGTATGAAATCTCCATTATACGTCTATCAAATTTGGCCATTTCCGTTTACGTAAAGAACAAATACTGCACTCTCAACCCATTAGAGCGGTTTCCTGCCCAGATGTCGATACACACCGTGAAACCCCTTCAAAAGGGCGCTGGCGCGGAGATCTAGTGTGCTGTGTACTTACATCATGATACCAGGATATCCGGTGTTGCTTGGGATTGGCTTTGATGTTGCACTCGAAGTACACGTCGTCGCCCTCCTTGATATCTTCAGGGTTGAGAGTATTGCCGAGGTGGAGTACCACTTGCGGCGGGTCTGGAACAACAAATACACTTCAGCTTAAAAGTTTTCGTTCACAATATCATCTGGGATCGTACTAGAATCGTATCCATCACGATACTTAAGAGCGGATTAACCGCGTTCTAAAGTACCTACATAATATACAGTGAAACTTCCCACGAAGGATTTGTCGAAAACCACTGATTAAAAGAAAAAACGCCGAGACACGTCAAAAGATTTGTCAAGGGGGACAACTTTTTAACCAAAAACTAGTTCACCCCCTTTAACCCTCGGGTCATTCTCTTAAGAATTTTTAATGACAAAGGGGTATCACGTAATAGCTTGTTTGGAAGATCTTTCAAAGTCCTCTATTTTGACATTTGATTTTTTAAAATCAGTCGATTCGTTTTCGAGAAAATTTGAAAAATGTTTATTTATCTTAATTTGTTCAGATAGAAAACAAAATATCAATTTCTATTTCAACAAGTGTTCAAAATCTTGCCCGTTAGGATTTGGATTTGTCAAATCTCCAATTCGCTTATAATTCAAAACGGAAACTACCAACATAAAGAGCAATTCGGAAGATTAGACGTGGCAACAACCAAATAACCACCCGATTTTTTTCCGCATTATTTTCATCAACACAGATACCCTGGGCTAACTGTATTTATTATAATACTTGTTTTGATATTTGTTGCTAAGGGAAATAAATAATTTAATTTGCTGTCAGTTGCTTTTGTGGCAATCTTGGGATAGCGAACATTAATTTGTACATTCAGATTTTACTTCCAATATTGTTTACACACTAGCCGAAGGAGTGGAAATGATTCTAATTTATGGTGCCCAAAATCAATGTTCTCGGCAAACTGCCGGCACGCTTAACGCCAGACATCCGGGGAAAATAGCTTCGCATAGGTATGTTTTGGATCTTGTTACTAAATTTACTCAAACGGGATCTGTTGCAAATAAAAAACGTGATAATCGGAGAGTTTTTTGGATGAGGCCGCTCAAGTTGAAGTTTTGGGTCATTTTGGAATAAATCCGAATACTTCATTACGCAAAAATGTAGCTGCGACTGGTATTTCATTAGGTTCTGTACACACAGTTACTAAACTCCATAAATTTCATCCATTCAAAATGCACGAGTTGAAGATGATTTCGATAGGCTAGTTGAGTTTTGTGAACTGCAGCGATTAATGATAACACCATTCATGTACAGAATATCTGCTTCAGTGATGAATGTACATTTTATCTATTTGGTTCTGTTAATAAGCCTAACTGCAGGTATTGGAGCAATGAAAATCCTTATGCTTTTGTAGGAGGGCATACCCAGTATCCCCAAAAAATTAATGTATGGGCAGGCATTTTCGCAAGCAAAGTGATTGGACCATTGTTTATTAATGGAAATTTGAATGGAGACATTTATTTGGATATGTTGGAAACTACCATCAATCCACTTATCACTGAAACCCTTGAAAACCAAATCGAATAGGATGAAAACCCTATACTTGATGAGGCTGAAATATATTTCCAGCAAGACGACGCTGCGCCTCACTATGTTCTTCCGGTGCGACAATGGCTACGACGAGTTTCCAGATAAATGGATAGGGCGTATAGGGCCTATAGAATGGCGTACTAGATCTCCTGATTTGATGCCATTAGACTTTTTTCTATGAGGCCATTTGGAGTATATTATGTTTACTCCCAAACCTAAAAGTTTGGATGAACTTCTTCAACACTCAACGGGCAACATTTTGAATATTTATTGAGATATTTTCGTGTATTCTTTTCTAACTGAACAAATTAAGATAAACAAAGATTTTTTTGATTTTCTTGAAAACGGATCGACGGATTTAAAAAAATCAAACGTCAAAATAAATGACATCGAAAGAACTTTTAAACAAGCTATTACTTGGTACCGCTTGTCTTTTAAAATTTTTCAAGGGATGACTTGGGGGAGCAGAGGGTGAAAGGGGGTGAAGTAATTTTTGGATAATAAGTTGTCCCCCTGGACAAATCTTGTGACTTGTCTAGGCACTCTTTCTTATAATCAGTGGTTTTCGATAAATCCGTGGTGGGAGGTTTTCAAATGAACACCCTGTATAAGATACATGAATACACACAGCAGGATTACATATGGGATAGCACTGCAAGCACGTTCTCCGTTTCAATGCACGAGTGCCTGATAGCTCATTTCTGCCTAAATTGGATAATATTGCTGTCATTAACATGTGGTGTCAAGAAGATGATACCACACACTCCGCAAAATTCAACGTTGACTGAACAAGCTTAAGCCACATTTATGCAACCTGGCTTTGAAAAGTTTCGATATGTACTAGCAAACCCGATAAAGCTATATGCTTGATGTGCCAACCCATACATACCCGTATCTTGTGTCTGTGTGTGAAAAATTAAAAAAAAAACAATCTCAAGAAGAACAACTGTGTTCTATGCTTAATTCAAATAGTCTGTGGATTTTAGGACACCCTATATATCAATATGTACTGCGTATGCAACGCGTATGGTAACTGGTAGCTCTCTGTCAAATGCTATGATCAAAATAAACGAAAAGAATCTCCTCTCTGCCGTCGCCAAAAGCAATTTTGAAATCGTTGTTCTTGGATCTTCAATTTTCAATATTGATATCTGAAATATATAAAAAATAACTTGGATACCTATTTATTGTCACGTAACCTTTGATTCTCTTGTATAGAGCGACACAGACTGCATCATTTGACATCATTGTGAGATCTACTGATAATTCAGTGTCGAAAGTGACTGGGATGTTGCAGATTATATTTTATACTTAAGCGACCGTATAATATAGATTCTTCATAAGAGAGGTATATAACAGTCTTCTTCATTCCAACTAAACTACAAAAATTGATCTGACAGTTTCAAGTTCCTGCTAGTAAGTGTAACAAAAACCTATTCGGGCTGGTCCAATGACTAGCTGTTTCATGTTTGATGGTAATGAACGATCTAGCTCTGGCCCAGTGTTCACTATAGAGATACAACAGTTTGGGGACATTCGAAATAGATGGCCTAAGGTTATATCGGGTATATGATTTGACTTCTCTGGTTTTTATTACTCATTTATTATTTGCTAATTCTGTCGGTCTGTTTTTTCACTTTGCAAAGTTATATAAATTCTTTATATTTATCGTACTTATTCAATGGCTGATTTAATTACCATTCCATAGAGTCGACTTTATTTATACTGCGATTCTTAATAAAGGATTCAAACAAATTCATGAGCTCACGAGATTTGTTTTGATATTCGCACCCCAGTTCGCTCTGCAAATCCCCTTCCTGTTTCGGTTTCGAACCGGCGGCGGCAGGGCCTTTATTTGCATTTATAGCGCGATAAATATTACAATCGTGTACAGCGTATAACAGCTCCAGATTTCAATATGACTGCTGCTGAAGCTGCTGCCTTTGCGAGCTGTTGCTCCAAACGCCTGCCTTGGAGGGAGATGGAAAGCAATAAAGTTGCCACCCTGCCCTGTGCTTGCAGAGACTCTCTGTCAGTCTTTCTCCTTCAAAAGATTTTAATAACTCGTATATGAAAAAAAAGGTTTTCTCTTTAAGCGTTGTGAAAGTCAGTTGTGTATTGATATGACAACATAAGAACCGTAAATGATCACCGATTTCATAACTTTTAACCCAGTAACTGCCACAAAGATGAGCAGTATTAAACGCCGGTAGCTACGTAAATAAATCCAGCTCCTGTTAAATCACAAAGTGTGGCGTGTGTACACGTGGTTTACCTGTCCAGGAATCGTCTCCAGGCCTCCATTGCCCCTTTACCAGACTGAGGTAGTAAGTTGACTTAATCAGGTCGAGAAACGTAAAACAACAAGGCCTTCGAGAACAGGGACAACCATTCTGGTTATTGTGTGGTTGATATCATAAATTTAAATCATTTGTGTGTCAAGTGAGAAAGCCTACGACGAATTTATTTCTGAAGTTGTACGTTGAAACTTAAAAAACAGGACTAGCTCAGGTTCAAATTTTGGATTCTAAGGGAACCTTTTGAAAAAAATATTAACCATTTCGAATCCGACAGCAGATTTACAATCAGCAAATAATGGATTCACTATTGCTGTATATGAATCACTGACGGCTACTGGAACTTGGGCAGTGACAATTTTTGGCCTGGATGCAATATTTATCGCTCCATGAAAGTAAATAAGGTCAGGAGGTGAAGAAATGTCCCATCTTCGTCGTTCCCATACCGTTTCGCAGCGAGAATTCAGTCCCGGAGGTACACGCGAAATTTACTACGCTGAGCTGGATTTAAACAAATATCTGTCGTCGCTCTGGAGGAGTTACAGCTTACACTGCCAACCCGCTGCAGCCTAGGTGAACGGATGCCGCATTGTAATCTAGGAAAGGCAATTTTATCTGTGGTAATTCGAAACGATGAAATTATGGTAATGAATGGTATTAGCTTTATTCTGGATGAAGGATGTCCACATATCTAAGAAACTTGAGAGTAGAGGCTTCTAAGTGGTTGCGATTAGAAGACAAGAGATGTGGACTGCTTAAATGAACATGGGAAGTTATTTTGTCGCAGATTGCTCTATATTCTCGATACCCTAGAAAAAAAGAGCTATTGTGCCAGTCAGTTCAAAAAAGCAGAGTGACTATCCGAGAAATAAATAAGCAAAACCCTAGCGGATCGGTTCTGCAGATCTGGATAGAGATGGTATCAAGGGAGATCATGATAGCAAAGGTAGCCTATCGATAGAAAAAAAACAGATAAATGATCACTCATCGAGAATTGAGACCGTCTGTTAAGAAAAAAATACTGAATAGTGATCCTTTGAACCACATCAAACATACATAGCCTAGCCAAGATAGTAGCACCCGATACTTGTGAGGCGATATCTTACGAATCCAGTACATTCTCAAAGAATCGGAAATTTGCTCATGTTCGGTCCGATCTATAGCTTTACTTTCTGTAATAAGGAAGGTCATGGAAAAGTGCGTCATTCGGGAGTTTTTGGAGTATGACAAGCGACAGTTACCAT